TTTATTATTCTTCTTACTTAGCAAATACAAGCGCTAATATCTAAAGTTAATAAAATTGAATTTTAAAAATTATAAATTAATATCGAATTACTTGTTTTCGTTATTGAAAAGCCACGGAAAACGCTCCGCGCGCTACACCAGAAGGTCCTTCGAGCCGGATTTTCGGCTTAATTTTTCCTTCGAAAAGGAATAAAACACGTGATTATGCTTGGTAATTTGGATAGCATCACATTGGACATGGACCAAACTCCTCCAAATCAAGACACTGGTGCGAGTAACATCCGAGTAAAGGTTATGCAACGAGAACATTTGTGGAGTCGCCTTCAAAGTACACGCAATGAAATCTCCGAATTCCCCAATATGTCCGAGTCAGAGTTGAAGGTCAAAGCGGACATGTTAGAGCGACAGTACAACACTCTCGAAAAAATACAGTCCGCGTTAGAAGAACTAGACGAGTCGCAGTTTGGCTTCAATCATCGAGTAGAATTTGAAGCGGCGTATTTCACCATAAAAAGCGCAATCACCACTAGACTAGCGGCGCCAAATATTGATCACCTAAGCAGCACCCGCATTAACTCTTCGCAAATTCATCGCAAGGTAAACCTGCCAAAATTACAACTATCTAAATTTAGTGGGCGCCACACAGACTGGTTAGATTTTTATAATATGTTCCTCGCATTGGTTCATAATAATGCTGATTTAACTGACATCGAGAGATTTCAGTATTTGCGCTCATGTCTCACAGACGGCGCGGCACGGCTAATTCAGTCATTAGAAGTTACACCAGCCAATTATCAAAGGGCGATTGATCTCATCGTGGGTAGATTTGACAACAAGCGGTTTATATTTCAATCGCATTTATCAACAATTTTTGATGTGCAAAAGGTCACCAAGCCGAGTGTGTCAAGTCTACGCGAATTCATCGATAGCATTAATGCTAATCTGCGCGCCATGCAATCGCTGGCGACCACCATTCAAATTGCTGATGGAATAATTCTTCACCTAGTAACGTCTAAGCTAGACGAAAATACGCGAAGCAAATGGGAAGAAGAAGTGGCTGCTAAATTTGATCGAAAGTCAGTACCCACCTTGCAGCTTCCAACATGGAACGATTTGGCAGATTTTCTCGAACGCCGATGCCAAACGTTCAATATCATTGAATCCAATCAATCAAGCTCAAATCGGTCCGCCAGTCACAAAAATCCTACATCGAAACCATATTCATCGAAACAGCTCTCTTTCACCACCACAACTGCGTCGTCGAAATGCCCACTTTGTGAAACAAGGCCATATCATAACGCATTCAATTGTGCCAAGTTCATGAAAATGGATCCTCTTGAGCGGTACAATTTTATTAAACGGTTAAAATTATGTCTCAATTGCTTTGGTTTCAACCACTCGTCGAATCAATGCCCATCACTTCGTCGGTGCCAGCACTGTCGTGCGAGCCACCACACTTTGCTGCATCGCACATATGGTAGCAAGGCAGACGACAACAACAAAAGGGAAGATGGGAATGCTGAGAAATCAACAACGCTACAGGCTGGTATCGTTACAGGTGAAGTCATTCTCGCTACAGCTCTAGTTCGTTTATGTAACACTGCGGGAAGCTCTCTCATGGCACGTGTGTTGTTGGACTCAGGTTCTCAGCTCCATTTTGTCACCGAAAGAATTGCACAGCATCTTCGGTTACCGCGCAAAAAGCGCAGCATAGAGGTAACGGGCATTGGATCTACAACAACGAAAACGCAGCAAGTATGCTGTGTTGTACTAAAATCGCGCCATACAGCATTTTCGTCGACTTTGGAAGCGGTTATCATACCAACAATAACTTCGTGTCAACCCAGCAATCGTGTCAGCGTTGAGAAATGGAATTTGCCTAACAACATAAAGTTGGCAGATGAACAGTTCTACGAGCCAGCAACGATCGATTGTCTTATTGGAGCAGCGTTGTTTTATGATTTGCTTCTCGTCGGTCAAATCAAGATGCGCAACAATTCGCCGGTTCTGCAGAAAACTAAACTCGGTTGGATAGTTTCTGGTATCGCTAACTCATCTGCACCAATAGCTTCATCACCAAAAACCTCATCGTTGAATAAATCATCGGCCTATATGGCATTTCTCACCATGTCCGAAGAACCAGTTCTCGATCAGCTGTTGCAAACCTTTTGGGCATTGGAAGAACACCACACCAATTCATCAACGTCAGTTTCGGCAGAGGAGCAAGCATGTGAAGATCTCTTTGAAACAACCACAACCAGATGTCCAAAAACCAACCAATTCATCGTTCGCTTACCGTTTAAAGAAGACCCCAGCAGCCTAGGGCAATCATATGAAGCTGCTTTCAAAAGGTTGGTATCTCTTGAGTATAAATTTTCTCGCAATCCCGCACTCGTCAACACATATCGTGAATTCATGAACGAATATATTAACATGGGGCATATGACACTGCTTAATAACCCCGAAGAGGCTCGTAATTTTATCCCCCACCACTGCGTCACAAAGGCGGACAGCAGCACCACAAAACTCCGTGTGGTCTTCGATGCGTCGTGCCGAACTTCGAATGGGAAGTCTTTGAACGACATATTGCTCGTCGGTCCGACGCTACAGGACGATATTTTCACAATCCTGCTTCGCTTTAGAGCTTACAAATACGTGTTAATGGCTGACATCGCTAAAATGTACCGCCAGGTACAAATGAACTCAGCTGACTCTCCTTGGCAGTGCATTTTGTGGCGAGAATCACCGAACACTTCTGTGCAAGTGTACAAGCTGCAGACCGTCACATATGGTACAAGCAGCGCACCATATCTCGCCACAAAGGCTCTACAACAGTTGGCAAAGGACGAGGCAAAATCGCTACCAATTGGTTCAGTTGTTACGCTCAGAGATTTTTACGTCGATAATCTCATGACAGGTGGCGCTACCACTGATGAAGTCGTCGAAATTAAACAGCAAGTTGTTGAGTTGCTTAAACATGGGGGCTTTCCCCTACGAAAATTCGCCACTAATGACAATTCCATCATCTCTGACATTCCTCAAGCTGACCGTGAAGAAATCGTACAACTCGGTGACGTAGACTACATTAAAACACTTGGGTTGAAATGGTCACCATCGAGCGATAACTTCGTGTTCAGCTACACCGAATCATCGTCGTCTTCGAAAACAACAAAAAGAGCGATTTTATCCCAAATTGCAAGCTTCTTGGATCCACTTGGATTATTGAACCCTATAATAGTTTCATGCAAAATATTAATGCAGCATCTATGGGCACTGAAACTAGATTGGGATGAAAGTGTCCCACAAGATGTTTACACCCAATGGCAAGATTTTCGTCGGCATCTATCTCTGGTTCAAAAAATCCAAATTCCAAGGTATGTACCTTTCAACACCGCTACTGAAATTCATGCCTTTGCAGATGCCAGCACGAAGGCTTACGGCGCCTGCATCTACATGGTCACACGCGATTCTAATGGTACGACGTCATCGTTGCTGTCCGCTAAGTCTCGTGTAGCTCCAAAGAAGGAAGTTAGCTTACCTCGACTTGAATTGTGCGCTACATTGCTGCTGGCGGAACTGCTAAAATCAATTATTGACATATTTTCACCAAATCCTGAAGCCATTCATTGCTGGTCAGACTCGACCATCGCGCTATCCTGGATCAAGGGAGAGCCGTCGCGTTGGACAGTATTCGTTGCGAACAGAGTAACCAGAATTCAACAATTAACATCACAATTCAAGTGGCACCATGTAACATCAGCCGACAATCCTGCTGACGTCGTTTCAAGAGGAGCATCGGCTCATGACATAATCGCCAATTCTTTATGGTTTCATGGGCCAAAATTTTTACTGTTGCCTCAAGAGCATTGGCCACGTTCATCGTTTGATATACCTTCTGACATACCTGAACAGCGATGTCAACGATTCGCATTGGTTGCAAAGGAACAATATGATATGATCGCCTCTCACAAACACATAACCAACTTCCAAAAATTTCTTCGGATATTTACGTACGTGAGGTGGATCATTCAACGCAAGCGGGGATTGATGATTACATCCGGCGAAATAGAGGCAACATTAGAAATGGTCTGCAAAAATATTCAGCTATTGTATTTTCGTGACGAGTACCAAAGGATGTTAAAAAATTTACCCCTTCATCGATCGTCAAGGCTTTTACAGCTCGCACCATTTTTGCACAATCAACTAATTCGAGTCGGCGGCAGAATAAAAAATCCTACGTTTGCTTTCAACGCCAAACACCCCATCGTGCTGCCCCATGCTCACCCTTTCATTCACACTCTCATCACTTACTATCATCGGCAACATCTTCATGCAGGCGCTCAAACATTGCAAAATATTCTTCGTGACAAATTTTGGATACTCAACGCAAGAAAGGTCATCAGGCAAGTAATCCACCACTGCATAATTTGTTATCGCCTTCGCCCTGTTGTCACTGAGCAAATAATGGGGGCACTACCTTCGCAACGCATCAGTCCATCACACCCATTTGAGACTACAGGCATTGACTATTGTGGCCCCGTGTTAATGACTCAGAAAATCAGAGGCAGGGCTGCAATAAAAGTGTATATTGCAGTTTTCATCTGTTTTAGCACCAAGGCTATTCACTTAGAGGTAGTGCCTGATTTATCAACGGCAGCATTCATCGCTGCACTTAAACGATTTGTGGCTCGGCGAGGACGATGTCGGCTTATCTACTCCGATAATGCAACTAATTTTCTCGGGGCAAGCCGTGAGTTACGACATCTGCTTGAAGCATTCGTTACACAGCAGCACATAAACTCGGTAGAAAACTTTTGCCGTGAAGAAGGAATCCTGTGGAAGTTTATCCCACCCCGATCACCACATTTTGGTGGTCTGTGGGAGAGCGCGGTGAAAAATGCAAAACATTATCTACGCCGGTCAATTGGAAACCACATACTCTCATATGATGAACTTCATACAGTAGTATGTCAAGCGGAAGCAATGGTAAATAGTCGCCCGTTGATACCGATATCGTCGGATCCTAACGATCTCCAACCACTCACCCCTGCACACTTTTTGATAGGGCGTACCCTCACCGCTATCCCCGAACCACCACCAGAATCTGCTCAACTCAGCCTCCTAAAGCGATATAAAATTGTCCAGTGGATCCAAGTGCAATTTTGGCAACGAGGGCAGCAGGATTATTTGAAGGAGCTGCAGACCAGATGCAAATGGCAATCAGCACAACCCAATCTGAAGGTAAATGATTTAGTATTACTTAAGGATGACCTGGCACCACCACTAAAGTGGCCGATGGGCCGCATCATCGACGTCATGCCAGGTGAAGATGGCAGAGTAAGAGTGGTACAAGTAAAGACCGCAGAGGGAATATATAAGCGCTCTATCACTAAGGTATGCAAACTTCCAACCGAATTTTCACCAACTGCAGAAACCGATTGAAAGCATAGCTTTCAAGGGGGAGGATGGCCGCGCTCCCACCAAAAACTATGTTCACGCCGCCC